CTAAAGTATAAGTATGTTTTATTTTACAAATTAATTTTTTTATCCATTTTCAAATGATTTCAAATTTCTTAAATATTCATTAAAATAAATACAATTATATCGGCTTTATATCGGCCACCCTGCTTTCCAAGATATCGGCATCGGCTGTCAAAAAAACAATATCGGTCGACCTCTACACTCATATCTCTCCAAAGAAATCTCTGAATCAAAACCTCAGAAACGGAGTATAACGGGTGATGTACCTGCTGTTTCTCTGCTGTGCTGTGTCTCTGCTGAATGAGTCTCTGTTTCTCCTCAATCTGACACTGCAGGTCCTGCTTTAGTTTCTGCAGGTGTGAGGCTCTTTCTGTACGTTTAAAGAGTCATGAAAAACAAATTACAATGGCTACACGGTCTAATCCAGGATTATTATAATTAACTAAACCTATAATCATAAAAAAATAAGTTAAACAAACATTTTTACATTAATGAATTTTTTTTTTTCAGCTACCAAAACATCTCTCATTTTCATTTATTTTAACTTGATGTACTAAGATAACTAAAACTGAAATAAAAATTAAATAGGCTACATTTTAAAAGATAACTAATAAAAAGACAAAAATGACAATGTAACTTTTAAAATGAAAATAAAAAATACAAACATAAACACTAAAATAAAATAGAAAACATATACTCAAAACTGATAAATAAATAAATGAATGGTACTGCAAATTAAGACCAAGACAGTGTTATTTTAGTATCATTGAGATACTATTAGTTTTTATTAATATTCTGAACTTATATATATATATATATATATATATATATATATACATGCAAGTAGGAAAAAGCAAATACTGATGTTGCATGTTCCATAGACCAACTCTGATTATGTTTTAAAAAGAAGAGAGTGTAATGTAAGAATCCTACGAACTAAAGCTTGATCACCTTAAAGGGCTAGTTCACACAAAAATGAAAACGCTGTCATCTTAATGTGTTTGACTTTCTTTCCTCTGTTTAACACAAGAAAACATGGAACGTGGTTTGGACTTCAAAATATCTTCTTTTATGTTCCAGTCATACAGTTTTTGAACAACATGTGGCTGAGTAAACGATGACATAACTTTCATTTTTGGGTGGACTATCCCTTTGAGTACAACAAAAAAACAACAATTCCAGAGTAGCATCACATACCACTGCGAAGATTGAGTCATGTAATTGCATGTACTGTTTGTTCTGTTTTTTGAGACTTTACATCAGGACAGGTATGAGAATGTGAAGTATGTGAAGCAGACGAGCAAAGATCAAAAGTTCCCTTTGATAATAGCTAAAATGTCTGTGCTTAATAACGACTGAGGTCAACAATAACATTTTCTCATCACCATTCTGTTAACATAGATCCAAGGTGCTTATCTTCACTGCAAGAAATCCAAATGGCACTGTAATGTTTGATCGTTTAAAAAAAAAAA